ATTTTAGTTCTCAGTTTTTTTTTTTTTTTTCTTAATATCTATATCTGTTTCTAACGTTGCGGTGCGTAAGGAGCAGCGGCGACTGCGCGCGGGCTTTGCGAGAGGCGGGGGTCTGCCGGGGCGCTGCCGCGGGGCCCCCGGCTGCTCCGTGTCCCCGCGGGGCTGCGCGGAGCTGCGCGGGCCCGGCCGGGCGCGGAGGGGCTGCGGGGGGAGCTGTCAAGCGCCGCGGGAGCGGGAGGGAGGCGCTGGCGGGGGCAGCGGCCCCGCGCCGGGGCGCGGAGCCCCGCTGAACCCTGCAGCGCTCCGCGCGCGCGAGCGTCGCTCCCTCCGCGCCCGTGGGAAGCGGCGGCGCCCCCCACGCGGGGCGCGGGAAGGGCGGCGGGAAGGGCCGGGAAGAGCTCCGGTCTCCGGCGGGCAGCAGCCAGGACAGGGTGACCCCTGCCATGGGGAAGGGCTGCGGTGGGAAAAGCCGCTTCCTAAGCGCTGGCCGCGCAGTCACCTCCTCCTCGGGATGCGCGCGGGTTTCCTTTCTCTGGCACCCTGGCGAGCACAGACCTTTTCATKTATCTGTTGGTTCATTTTGCTTATTCGTTTTCCGATAGCGAACGCAAACCCTAAGCTGCTACCCTTGAATCGGATGCGGCTGATTTATCTGTGTGTACCTTTCCGTCTCTGCACGCAGAAGCGCGAGCGTTTGCACACGCACACAGCGGAGCACGTGTGCCCCTCGCCGTGCGCCTCCCTATGGGCAGCATCTCCCTGCGGGCTGTGGAAAAAACACATAACCCACCGCCGCGCAAAAAAAGTAGGAATAAACGCACCCTAGAAACGATTCTAGAAAGAAGCTAGACGCCTATTTCTGCATTCTTAATTCTTAATGAAAGGCGCATGCCGTGGCTACTGTTTTGCTGATTTACTGTGATTTTGTTGTTGTTGTTGATGTTTTGTTTTTTAAAGCGCCTTGATTTATGGGGCCGCGTTAGGTTTAATTTAGTGGGATGCTATTGATTGTACCAAATAGCCAGAGCTGTCTGCTGTATTCACGGGCAGAGGGGCAGGATGCGTCTGCTGGTAGGTGACCACTTGCTTTTTAAAAAAAAAAAAAAAAAAAAAAAAAAAAAAAAAAAAAAGAAAAAAAAAGAAAAAAAAAGAAAGAAAAAGACAAAAATACGCATCGCTGTCTTCCTCATTTTTTTAAGTAGGGAAAGAGAGCTATAATAAATAAATAAATGCACCCTTTTAATATAAACGCAGCCATATTTTTTTTCTCAAAACCGTAGGAAATTACTATCCTACCAAGTTTTCTTTCTATAAATAGCCCGAATCTCGAAACAAAAGTTTTAAACCGCACACCAGATGCTGGGATACTAGCGGTTTCCCTTGCTGTGTGACATAATTATAAGGTCCGAAAGCAAAAGCTATAGAAGTATAATAATAATACTAAGGCGACTGCTGAAGAGGGGAAATACAAGGGAAGCGGGAACTGCTTTATTTAGCGCTAAGTGCTCGGGGCGCTTTCGGAGGCTGCGGATTTGCTGCGGGTGTGGAGGGGACGATGTTTCCCTCGCTGCATCCGCAGGGACTGTCCATGGTCATGGTAGTTTTGCCCGATCATCTTTGGGCTCCTCATCTGCGGCGCCGCTGGCACCGTAGCGGTAAAAAAACCCCAAAACCTTCTTCCCAAGCTGGGAATTCGTCGCTCAGGCGCGAGCGGAGCGCAGGGGTCCGGTGCGCGGGAGCGGGAGGGAAGAGCCCTTCGAGTCTGCTCAAAAAGCTGGAAAGCAAAAATCCCTCCCCACCCCAGGAACAAAAACGGCACTGGGGCCTCAGTGTTTTGCGAGCGACAGGCTGGGTAGAAAGTGAATTGCTAAGGGGCAACCCCCAGAATTACTTGCAAGGAGCGAACTCCTTTACAAGTTTTATATTGCAAGCTCACTATATGCAAAAGTCATCTTTTTTTTTTTTTTTTTTTTTTTTTTTTTGGGTGTGCTTGCCTACTAACCTTTGGCCCTCAGAGCCACTGTATAGATTTTTACAACCAGAAGCAATTGGCCTGTGACTTTTTGAGAAATAAAACCGACTAAGGATAAAACAGCTGGTTGCAGGATGATTGATGCATTTTAATGCTCTGGACATATTTTGGTAATCCAATTACATATTTAATGTATAAAACTGACATTTAAGAATATCAGCGTAATTAGTATAAATGTCTAAAAAATGGGATTATATATAATACAGTTTGGCACAATTTCTTGCCATGCGTGTTTGACTGTCTATACACATATATAGTTATACATTAAGCTTCTTCTAAAGAAGATGCTGCTGCCCTAACACTCCATTCATGTATGCCTGTCACTTCTGTAAGACTGGATGCATTCGTTAGCAACATGAGATTCAGTTCTTAAGAAGCTTATTTTGGGGATTATCTACCAGTATATAGACAGAGTTAATTCAGTTATTTGCTAAGAAGCGATTGGGAATAACCCATAAGAGAGCGAGTGTGCATACGTCGCCATAGCTCCATAAATCTTCAAAGCTACTACATATTCCAGCATAACAGTATAGCAAATAATGTCCATTAGTGAGCGGATTGTTTGTACTGGCTGGTTACAAAGTACAGCGGGACAAAAATGTGTTTGTGTTCCGCATCTCTTCTGCTGATGCTCTCATGCCTGTGCTAATTCCACTTYGCAAGTGGCGCCTCTCCACGCTTGTGGGAAGTGGGTTAAAAGGAATATATCTGTTTTTCATGTGCCTTTAGGAAAACACTCTCGTCTAATCCCCAAAGATTAGGACTGCTGGAGGCAGTCCTGCACGTTGTTAGGTGCAGCCTCCACAAGAGGACGGAGGGCAAAGCATCCCCTTTAATGTCAGCCCCTGCAATGGACGCAGCAGTAGTCACACCTACACCAGCCATCTCACTCTTCACATCCCAGTGAGACCAGAGGTATTTCCACCTCTGTGTGGTTTGGGACAAGAGGGAATGGCCTCGAGATGTGTCAGTGGAGGTTCAAGTTAGACATTAGGAAATTTTTCTACTCAGAAAGAGTAGTTAAGCGTTGGAACACGCTGTTCAGGGAAGTGGTGGAGTCCCGGTCCCTGGAAGTGTTCAAGAAACATGTAGACARGGCACTTAGGGGCATGGTTTAACAAGTATAGTGTTGAAGGGCTTACCTTTGGGCACGATGATCTTGGGAGGTCTTTTCYAACCAGAATGATTCTATAATTCTATGATTGTATGGATCTGGACTTGGTCCTTGCTCAGGGCCCAGGGTGCAGTGTCTCTCCAGCTGAGCTGCGTCACCTCATTTCCCTGACCTTGCACCTCATCCAGCTCACTGGCTGAAGCTGTGAACTCCTTAGGGCAAACTGCCTTGCTCTTCATCTCTACTTGAGCAGTGTCCAGTGCACAAGGGGAACTCTGTTGCGATCTCTGCTGTTTCTACATTATACTTTAATAACAGTCATTTATAAGGGAATTTGAAACAGGGTTTCAACTCCAGTTGTTACCCTGTTGTGTTGGGTTACAACTCAAAGATGCATTCGCTTAGAGAGAGAACAGGTGAACCTCATAAGGATGTAGACTATTTTCTAGGTTCACCTAAATTTAAGCCCTTTTTTTTTTTTTTTTTCTTGGGAGGAACATATAGATATTGGGCTGTCAAAGCCACTATGAGCTTGGCTTACCCAAGTGGCAGAGGTTTGTTGCATGTACCAAAGCTGACAGACAGCAGAGTGTTTGTAATAAAGATATAGCTGCTAGGTAGCTGTAATGGTTAGGGCCATTAACTTCTTTGAGAGGTAGCCCAAAACCAAACATCCCATCCAAAATTTTTGCTCAGCTCAAACCTCATGGTTTGTATCCATGTTTTAAACACTGGATGGGTAGGCCTTCACCCTGGCATAGTCCAGATGCTCATATTCTCGATATTCCTGAAAWCACATGCATCTGTACATAGCTGTCTTTCTTTTGTGGCAAGCGGATTTGAGTGGTCAAATTTCTAGCACATGCTAACAGAAAAAAAAAAAAAGTAACAGTAAAAAGGTCGCGATTTAAGTCATTACTAAGAAAGGCAGTACGGTGAATCCTGAACTGGTAGGAAGACTGCTTGGAATTATTACATATGTTGTTTTATTAACATAACATAAAGTAGCATTAAATATTCAGATGAATGAGTAAGATGAACTGCAGATACCCTAGCATATTAACCAAAGACCAAGGCTAATCCCTCGGAAGAAAATCTTTCAAGGGAGGTGTTAAAGAGCTAAGCAAAGCAAGCTGCAATTGTACAGTTAGGCTGACAAATACGTTTTATGCAACAGGAAAAACACGGCACATGTAGCTGGCACTACGGCTTTCTAAAGGGAGGATGATTCTAAGTGTTTTCTCAGTGCATGG